CTATTTCTTGCCTTATCCAATATGTATGATACAAAAATTTTTGCCAAAAACTGTTCTTGCCAATTAACTAAAAAGGTTTTGAACATAAGTTGGACTTTCTTAATAAACATGGAAATTTTAAGTTCGTTTTGTGAATCTTTTTATTATATAATTATCTTTGGTAACTTATAGTATAGCAAACTTGAGGCTACCCGTTATGAAACCCCCTAATTTAGGGTGTTTATTGAAATATACTGTATCTATACAAAAATAAAAAATAAAATTGCAAATTTGCCTTTTTAATACGTAACACTCCATATTACACGCGTAGGTACTAATAAAAAAAAGTTTAAATACGATCAGGGGAAAAAATGCAACACAAGATGAAATCAGAGGACAAGATTTTATTAAAATTTGTCGACGATGTCTTAATAATTATAATAAAGTTCAAAGTATGTATAATGTTTATTTAAAGTGATGGTAATTCATCAATACAGTCATACCTTTGAAATTATTTAAGAATTCAACCCACAGAAGACCTGCTAACACCCAAACGTTTAGAAATTACTCTAACTTAAGCCTTCAACTATTTTCCAACAAATACATATGTATTATGCATTTATATAGCTCCGAGATAAATAGCTTATCGAATTCGGCCGAATAGACTTTGGCAAATTTTTTTAGGGTGTCCCAGAATTTATGAAAACAGCTGTAATAATGCGTTATTAATATTATTAATGTTAATAACTTCAATCATCGCTAACGTTAATAATATTGATAAGATGAATTAAATAAACTACCAATGGACTTAATAAACGAAAAAATATTGACGCAACTTTTCATTTTTTATACATTCTGCACTAATTAGCTGCGCCATATATTAATAAGTTAATAATTTGATCAATCAACTAGAAATGAAACATAGGTATAATGAGTCTAACGAATAACTATCAAATGTATACATAAATGTATGTTAAATTTAGATCAGTGAAGTATTTTTCAAATATGGAAATAACTTTTTTAGAAAAAGAAATAGTTACATATTATTTTTGTAACATAATTTTACATACTTCATTAATTCTCTATTTCTTTCAATATTATAATAAATTAACATTTCAATATACATAAATATTGGACAGCTTTTGTCTCAAATTATCATCAGATCGAACATATAATAGGCCCAGTCATGTTCTATCGAAAGTATAAGGTAATTAGTCATGCAATTATTTATGAAAGTATGGTCAAGATAATTTGATATTTATTAGTAATAATTAATTGTCATGGCTGATACTAAAATCTGAACCTATATTAGTTAACAGATTATCAAGGTCGCTAAGAGAGGTCTTTCATAATGAGTCACGAATATATTTCATTACCAGTTATACAAAAAACTATTAATTTAACGAAGATTTATTGGCTCAGTATTTTCTTTTAGCAACCTAATATAAAATTAAATTAATTTTGTGACTCAAAACCATTATCTTTTTATACGTATTATGTAAAAATCATGTGAGATGTGATAAAAAGCAAATCACATATTCGTTCTATTTTTAGGGATCTATATATACCTGTGGTCTAGCTATAATAATACTGTAAGTAAATATTTAAAATTTTATTTAAACGCATATACATAATTGTAATTAGAAAAAAAATCATCGAAAATATTAAGGTACATTTCATCCACAGTGCGTTGGCTAATATATCCCTCGTCTCTGAAAAACTTAATTAAGGATAGAGTGTATGTAAATCATTTATTATATGATTTCTGTGTCACAACGTGATTTTTGCAAAAAATAAAAATATGCTACTAATTAAACTTTTTACTACAGTATTTTAATTAATTTTTGTAAAATTTTTACAACATATATATTAAAATGTATTCTTTATCGTAGTAAAATTTTTAATAAGTTAAATATTTAAAAAAAATAGACTTGCATATATTGTAAAGTTTTTTTAGATTGACTCAAATTTTTTTAGATTACACAAAATTATTAATTTTGATTGGTTCATATCATATGATCATCATATGATTTTTGCAATATTTAATCTTTAAATTAATGTATTTCGCTGAATATCTAACCAATCTTGATGATTTTACTATTGTTAAAATCAGAAAATTCTACTCTACAACTTTTATTAAAAATTTATAAATAGTTTATTTATTAATATTTTAAAAAATAAAAAATTTTACTATTAGTTTTATATATAATTTGCAAATTATATACTCTACCCTTAAAGTATAAGTTTAGATTTTACAAAGTAAAATCTTAAAAGGGGGAAAATGTTACAAAGCAGATTGTAACACAACGTAACATTAGTATAGTATAGTGTAGATTATAGTTTATTATTTGAATATAGTATTAGTTATATTTATTTAAGTATTAGTTATTATTATAGTTATATTTATTAGTATAGTATTAGTTATTATCTTTATTATTGTATTAGTTATAGAAATATTATTGGCTAGTTAACTGAGGCACAGTAATGCCGCACGAGTACCTGCCAGCACCTCCACACAAATACCTGCCAGTACCTCTATATAAGTACCTCTTAGTATTTCTATACGAGTACCTCTCAATACTTTCACACGAGTACCTCTCAGTACCTCTACATGAGTACCTCTCAGTACCTCTACATGAGTACCTCTCAGTATCTCTATACAGGTACCTCTTAGTATCTTTGCATAAATACCTCTTAATACCTCTACATGGTTTAGCAGCTATACCGTTACATCTTTTATATGTGAAAAAGTTATAAAAAGAGAGCCTTTGCCCCTTCTACTCAAGTCAGAGTTAGTTAGCCTTCTCTACCCTCTAATAGTATCTAGCCTTACCTTCTTATACTTCTTGTCCTTGTATAAGTAATATACTCCCTCTATAGTAATCCTAGTAGGTGAGGTTATTCTCCTTGACTTATAATAAATAAAGTATTAGCTTATATACTGTCCCTATGTCAAACCATTTGCCTCCTGCTAGTAGAAGTAGTGCTTATTTTACTTCCACCCTGTGTACACCCTAATAGCAGGGTTCCTGCACTGGGTGACCTTGTTACCTTGCTACATGTTGACCAAGAAGGCCGTAGCATTGTAACATTATAATATTATAAGGATTTTTGATTAGCTATTTATCATATAAATTATATATTACACAATCTAATACTTTTTGGTCTAATAGATTAAACTTGACTATATATAAACTAAATATTGAACATGTTTAATATCCAACCCAATACTGTTTAAATCTAAGTTTTTTCAGACTTAAGTTTCATAGTTTTTTAATTCTTAATACATGTTTTTATAGTATATATCTTTTTTCTTTGAGTCTCAACTAAGAATTTTTTACTAATTATCTTTAAGTAAAGTACATTAGTATAGCTCAAGGTGACCTAGCAGCCAGGTTGATAAATTCTTTTGTCCAAAGATTTTTGTCATCTAAATTCTTTAATTTTTAGTCCAATCAGCTCTGTTTTGTAATATTATCAAAGATCTGCTAATTTTTACTTGGGATTTACTAAGCTGGTTTTGGATCTTCAAGTTCTTATTCAATTTTATATGTTTCTAAAAGCCTTATTATAGATTTCATTGCCTATACTAGTTTGCATTCCTCTATATAATCCAAGTACTATATAAATACTTCTAGAATTTTCTAGTATACAGAATACAATAGTGTGACTAAAGTTACAGGCCCTAGGATCCAACTTATTAATAAAGATTTGTTACTATAACACAAGTAGCTTTGTTTAAACTATTGCTAGTGAAATTTGAACTCGATATCTTAGTTACAAGCTAGCTTGGAGTGTAACAACACAACCACTACACTATGTTACTATACTTTAATAAAATTTTTTTTTTAAATTTCTGATACAAATAATTGTTAGAAAAAATATATTATTTAGTAGATATTTATATATATTTATTATAAGAAAAAAATAATAAAGCTTTTGTAAAATCTAAATTAAAGTTGTTTAATAATACTATATCTCTACTAATTATTTTAATTTTAATAATTTTTTTAAACTTTGGTCAAAAATATCTTGATATTTACTTGACCAAATTCAACAAACTTTTTTTTTAAGTTTTACAATTTCTACAATTAAAATAATAAAAAAAACATATCAAATTTGATCAGGTAATCATTGAGATATCTTTGATCAAAATATTGTAAATTTACTATAACATTTATTAAATAGAAGTTATATTGCAAATCTTTGATTAAAAATATCTTAATATTTATTTGACTAAATTTATTAAGCTTTTTTTTAAATTCTACAAATTTCTACAAATTTCTACAATTAAAATAAAAAAAAGTTCGTTAAATTTGGTTAGATAGTTGTCAAAATATTCTTAGTTAAAAATTTTGTAAATTTTACAAATTATTATAATACTTTGATTGAAGATATCTAAACATCCACTTGATAAAATTCAATGAATTTTTTTTTTTTTTGAATTTTATAGATTTCTACTATTAAAATAAAAAAAAAGCTTATCAAATTTAATCAGGTAGTTAGTTATTGAGATATCCTTAACTAAAGATTTTGTAAATTTTAAACATCCAAGTAGAAGTCACATTATAAATTGTTGTAAAAATTTGATCGAAGATATTTCAACAACCACCTGATCAAATTCGATAAACTTTTTTTTTAAATTCTACAGATTTCTAATAAAAAAGCGTTCAATGAATTAAATCAGATATATGTCGAAAATATCTTCAATTAAAGTTTTTAAAAAAATTAAAAAATTAAAATAATTGGCAAAAATGTAGCATTATTAAAAAGAGTGTATTAATTTTCTTTTTTTATTTAAATTTTAGTATTGTAAATTTATAATACTTATGTCTTTTTAAAAGTTCACGAGTAATAAAATTTTTGTCCGGGATTAGTCGGTACTCTATCCGACATTTTTTCCGGGTATCTTAACAACCAATCATGATGTACGAAAAAAAAATCGTTAATTTGATTGGCCAGTGATCAATTATAAATAACCCGACTAAAAAAGCTTTAACAAAAAACGCGTTGAAAACAAAATGGCGCACAATATTCCACAGCAAAAAATTCCAGCGCACAACACTGCACAGCTACCAATCGCTCAAGCTTTTATTTGGCTTGAGAAAGGTGGCGATATTTTCTTAAACCAAAATTTGGTAAGTTTTTTTTTTCGGTACATAAGATAAGAAACTTTCTAATAATTTACTATGACTGCTTAGGATTACGAATATTTTTTACCTTACATACTATATCTATACGATGACTCTCAGTTACAATTTTTGAGCAGATATTTACAGGCATGTCAAAATATGTTATTTATGGACGATTTCAGAATAAATTCTAATTATATATTCAGATCGAAACTATACGCGAGATTATGTCGGTTAATAAGAATCAAGTCATTCCTCATATTATCAAAAATATTTATCCAAGGATTCCACTAACACTTACGGTAAGCTTTTATACACTATTAAATTATTTATGGCAAATTATTTCATGAATAACAAATAAAGCAATTTATATTATTCTAGACAATTCAGAGTCAAGGCCAAAATGTACAGTTAGTCAATCATGAGACAACGATAAGGTTAATAAAATATATTATGCCTAATTATAAAATTAAAAATAACAATTTTTTCATGCGTTACTTTCTATATAGGGCAATCTTGCAAGATGTATATAATCTTGTAAAATCTGCGAACGTATTTTACGAGATGAGTCAGTCAAGGGTCAAAGAATATTGTGATTTTATAAAAGCAAACCCTTTATTATTTAAATATCTACGGAGTGATGTAGTGAGAAATTTGGAGTATTATTTGCCAATAATATTATATACATGGGATCTTTCACCATTAGGAATTAATTATAAAGTATTATTATTATTATTATTATTTGATTGATCCATAATTCATTACGGCCAATTCTGTTCACACCCAAAATTTAAGATCTTTAATTAGGGCATATACTAGAAATCAACTATGTATCATTATGTAAAAGTACTGAACCATATAAATAATCCAAATTTGGGGTTGTTTTAAATTTAAGAATCGGCCGTGATGCAAAATACACATCCATTATCACTTTTATACCAGGGTTGTTATTAGGATGAAGAAATCCATTAGACTTAATATGTCTGGTTGCTTTTTTTATGTCTAATAGGTCTCATAAGCCACAATCTAAACAACCTTGTGTATACTATATCTATATAATTCTTATTTAAAATAATTGCATTTATTTTACATGTGATTTAATTACAAATAGGATTTTATTCGGGCATTAGTGCTTTTAGAAAATGGTCACATTTTAATAAAGTGTATGACAACTAATAACCCACAGATGTTTGAAGAGGTAAATTTAATTCTCACTTATTATGATAAGCTGTCGCGTAATATTAATTATCTATGTGTAATTAATTTGATAAATCATGTCTAGATTGCAGCAACGCTAATAGATATCCATAATCATTTACCTTCTGACTATAAAATTCATCTCAGGTTTTTGTTTTTTTTCCTTCCCAATATTATAATTGACTTTTTAATTAATCAATAATTTCATCCAATTAAAGGAATATGTTGTATACTATGTGTGCATTAGCTCCACATCATACTTTTTTTATTCGAATGAAGCTGACTGATTTAAAAATCTTGCCTGAATTTGCATTGGAATTGACACTAACTTCTTGTATGGACGTGGTGGGTATTCGAAGACCTGTTTTCATAAATAAATTACATTACAATTATTCTTTGTTCACATTGTATCCATCTTGTATAGCCTTTATATTTGGCTGGAATATTAGCACGTGATGCAGAATGGTTGAGATTCAACCAAATTAAGACCGATACTATTACCACTTTGCAAAATAGGCTTATGATGACTTTGAAAAAAGAACTGGTACCCAATTACTGTTCATAGCAAGGCTTATATTGTGATTATGCATATAAACAATGCTTTATATTCCTTAGGCAGAGCCAGTGCTACCGTTGACAACTCGTCGAAATAGGCTCTGCGTCCTTCTTCGTATTATATGCGGGTTAAGCTATTATTTTCAATCTTATCTGAACCAAAATGATCTAGAAGCTTGTCTTCAAATATTAAGTCACGCGGAGTCTGACAGGTGAAAATATATCTTATTCATGCAAATATTTTCCTTAAACTTTTAATCTAATTTATTTTTGCGTACATATTTGGTAAAGGCTCAGGAAATTGTATCTCTGCTTTTTACTGCTGTTTTGGCAGAGGATAATGTCAGATAGCAGGGTAAATAAGACATTATGATAATTTTCTATGACATTACAGGAGTATAATTAAATACAACTATTTCTTACTATTCAGATACGTCCTATATTTACGAATGCATTTTCTAAATTAGTAAATCCTGGAAATTCGGATCTATATTTGATTTTCGCATATTTGTTCCATACAAGTCAATTTGAGCAAATACAAGAGATTTGTCGTGAAACATTAACGCTAGATGTAATGATTGGTAACTTTTCAATTTATCATCCTTCATTGATAATATATTCAGATTTTATACTGTATTTGATTATATGTATTTTTAATAGCATATCGACCTTTTCAGCTCCATTAGATAATGATTCGGAAGCCTTTATAAAAGCCCAATTTAAAGAAGACATATTGGCAAAATGTGCATTGGAAATTGATCCAACAACATCTTTTTCTGGATTAGGGGTATTATTTCTGCTTATCAGATTTTAACTACTATATTCTCATTCAAAACTAACTTGGCATTTCTCTACCTAGTTATCTAAGGTACCACAAGATATTGCATTTGAGGTTTTCTATGTTATGCTGACTGGAGGTGTGTTTCACAAAGGCCGTGTTGATATTCAATCCTGGATATTGCGACAAATTTTGCAAGCAGAGATCCCATTACATGTCAAAATTGGGTCTTTATTGAAAGCATATGTTCGCAGGTTAATAGACACCTCTGAGTATTTGATATCCATCGTTAATAATTCATATGCAATAAAAAATATATATATATTTTTTTCTAAACAAGTATCTTCGAGGATCATTTATATCGGTCTCCAATGACTAAGATATCAGAAGACAGGATAATTGATTTTTTCTCAGAAAACTTTACAAAAGTTACGCCTGCGCATGTCCTCATGACATATTATGTATTGACTCTTAATGATTTTGCTAAAGAAAAGAAATTAAATCATGCTCAGAATTCAGATCAACAAAAAACAGGTAGCTCATCATTATTGTTACATACTTTCTTGGTCCGCCGAGACTTTTATGAATTTTAAAGTTTAATCATCACTTAGCCTATTCGTCCAGATTGACCGAATTAATTCCTGCAAGAAGGATTTTAGTCGAGGCAGAAAAATGTGACAATGGCTATGCTTATCGTAATATTTTTCCTGAGCTCCTTGGTCTTATGGCTAGTAACTATCCAGAAATTTTCGATATTGAAAGTTTTCTCATGGAAGAAGATCGTGAAAAGTATGTTGTTATTTAAATTTTTTTGACGGAATATTTCAAGCTTTACAATAACTTATATTTATTAATTTTCAGTGGTATTCCACTTAATAATGGCGATGTTGAAAATATCGTAATGACTGTAATATCTGAATTAGAAGATTCAACGGAAAGCGGTTTAGGTAATATATTAAACAATAAACTCAGATTTTGTGTATGCATATGCAATGGTTAATTTTTTTTTAAAAAAAAATATAGTATTAAAAAAATTAGAAGTAGTCGCACCTGAATATTTACTTATACAGTCAGATTCTCTTATTTTAAATCTATTACCAAAGTTGTTAAAACGAGAGTGAGTTGCAATAGATTTTAACATACAGTATTTAACATATTTAAACTCCGATTACATGTTAATTTTTCGGAAAATTTTTTTATTGTTCGTCTGTAGACAAGATTCTGCAATGCTGGATTCAATACGTGAAATCTGGCATTTGTTATACTCTGTTCATCCCCATAAAGCTGCTTTATTATTTATGAATGCTGTACAAAGCGAAGAAGACAGAAGTGCATGGTAATTTTTTAATCATTTATATAATTTAGTAATTGTGAATGATGTTTATATATTTAACTGAATTTTACTATGAAGTTTCGTAGAGCGAGATATTATGCTTGATCCGCTTGTTATGTTCCGCTGTGATAGTCGGGTGTTCCGATGTCCACAAATATTTCAGATATTTCTGAAGGTAATCCAAGGAGTATTTAATTAGATTCATGATTTTAAACTTGATCATCATAATCCTAACATTTTATAACAGGTCTTGAAATTCTACCTGGTTGGATCACGTCTTAGATTACGACGCGCATGGCAAGATGAGCTTACTAATAAGGTAATTCGTTGTTTGTTACTATATGTTGGCAAACTTATCATGAAGTCCAAGTACAGGCTATAAAATAAATATAATTGCCAATAATAATTTCGTTATGCAGGAAGTCTTTCCTCTGAATAAGCTTAATTACATGATTAACAGTCAAGAGACGCTTTTATTGTCGCTTTTAATGAAAGAATGCGAAACTAAGCCATCTGATTCGCAAAATCCTGGTAAGTATTTGATTATGGTTGACGATTTTATTTGTTTGAATAATGCAGTTATGAACATATATATGTATGTAGATGTATTGGATCAAATTCGAACTGCGACATTTCGTTTTCTTCATCATATGTTTATTGAAAATATGGAATCATTGAGAAATTTACATTTTTTGGGTTATGCAACTGATTTGATTCCCTTGACGACTCGTAGAATTGAATCTATGCGTATGTCTTTTACTCTTATTCATTGTTCGATTCTAAATTAGTTTAAATAAGTTACTAATTGCAAGCGTCTTAGATCTTTGCGTATTTTGGGCGCACGAGTTAATATCGCACGAAGATCCAAAAAAGCAATTGTTTGGTTTGTGTTTAGCAGGCCAATTGTGTGAAGTCTGGCCAATGCAGTCAACGTAAGACAAGCTTTTAACAACTTGACGAATTCGTTCTTTATTGGTTGGATTCTTGATATATTAAAATATTGCATATACTTTTTAGGTTTAATCTTGCCAAGCATTATATTATTCCGGCAATTAGACGTAAAACCCTTGAAGTACACGAGAATGTTTTATCTGATGAGGGTAAAACCATCTTACCTATATTAGTTTTATTATATAACGTATTTAATAATTTAAGAGAAGAAGTCGTGACATTGCTGCGAGGTAAGACTTAAAAACATTGTTCATGAATTCGTAAAATCTTACCATACTTTTTAATTCATTTATTAGCACTTGAAGACAAATTCAGCTCATCAAGAGGTTATGCAACTACTCTCGGTGCAAAACGTAAATCACAAACAATTGTTTCTTACTTATTAACGTCTATTAACAAAACTCCAAAAAGTGCCAAGATGAATCGGGATAGAGAGATTATACCAGTGACGCAGTAATTTTTGGTTTTAAATTGTTGAGTTGAATATCGATAAAAATAACAATAGTAATTCTATGTTTAAAAAAAATGGTGGACATTCGATTCGTTGGTTGACAAAATCCTAATTAAATGCATTTTACACTTATGCATATTTTATCTCAAAAAACTGGCTAATTGATTGGTCTCTGATGTTTTAAAATGTTTTTGTAATTCTGGCCATTAATACTAACCCTAATATGAAAATTTTGATATTTAAAATTATATATACTGTACGTAAAGTTGCGAATAACGCTCATGGCCGTCATTTCTGAAATTGCACCCTATAAAAACAACATATTTCGATTTAAAATAATACCCAGGCGAAATAATTTAACATTATTAGCAGAATTGTACATTAGATTCAAAATTTTGACCTTTATTTTCAAACACATGAGCGTCTCGAAATAACGCGTAGGTGATAAAATAGTGCAGGTGGATAAAAATAAACGCGCACGACGCGTTATTTCGTGACTATACGGTATTTATTATTAATAAAAAAAAAATTGAGGTAATTCGTTTTTGTAAACAAAATCAGAATTTAATATAAATTTTCTATAGTACAGAAATCTGGCTGTTCTACATATAAAAAATTTTTTTCTAAGTAAACCTTTTTAGATTTCTATTTCAGTATTTAAAGTTGTAGAGCTCATTGAGATGATTCTAATGGTAGTAAAAATCATTAAAACGGTTTGGTAGGTTTTTTCTTAATATCAGAAACTTTTGATATTCCACCTCTATATGAAATAGTAATACTGCGCCGCATTTAACTATAAAATTTTACCGCAAACTATCATAAATTATTATTTAGAAGTGTTTGAACAAGGTAGGTGAACTCCATTAATTCCATTGAAGTTCTCCATCGGGTTCATTGCCAATTCTGGCTTAAAGGTATAAAAATCTTGGGCATATTCTTAGATATATATCTTTTATGATAGTCTATCTATAGCTAAAGGCATTGAGCAAAAGCTTTCAGAATAAAATTCATATATAATCTAATTCATCAAATCCTAACACTATCCGATCTTAACCTTAAATCTAATTCTCTAAAAAATTTACAAGGGATCTTGATGATGGTAAAATTTAACCTTCGACATATATGGGCTACCGTCAATAGAAATCAGGCAGATTGACATTTTAAAAAAAATCTATACCTCAACTTTTACAGCTCATATCTCGATGAATTT